TTGTGGCTGATTTGATCCGTCCAGACCACTAAACCTTTCTCCATATCATCAGTAAGGCTGTTTCACTTTCTCATCCATGTGTTCACTGGAGTAGCACTTTTAATTTCCTTTAAGAACTGTTCCTTTGCATTCACAACTTGGCTAACTGTTTGACACAAGAGATCTAGCTTTTATTCTGTCTGAACTTTTTTTTTTTGAGACAGGGTCTTGCTCTGTCTCCCTGGGTAGAGTGTAGTGGTGTCATCATAGCTCACTGCAAACTCAAACTCCTGGGCTCAAGCAATCCTCCTGCCTTAGCCTCCCTAGTAGCTGGGACTACAGGCATGCGCCACCACGCCCGGCTAATTTTTCTATTTTTTAATAGAGACAGGGTCTCGCTCTTGCACAGGCTGGTCTCAACTCCTGACCTCAAGGGATCCTCCCACCTCCGCCTCCCAGAGTGTTAGGATTACAGGCGTGAGCCACTGTGCCCGGCCACTGTCTCAACTTTTGACATGCTTTCCTTACTAAGTTTAATCATCTCTAGCTTTTAATTTCAAGTGAGAAACACGCAACTCTTCCTTTCACTTGAACACACAGAAGTCATTGTAGGGTTATTAATAGGCCTAATGTCAACATTATTGCATCTCGAGGAGTAGGAAGACCCGAGGAGAGGGAGAGAGACAAGGGAACAGCTGGTCAGTGGAGCAGGCAGAACACACACAGCATTTATTGATTAAGTTCATGTCTTGTATGGGCATGTTTCGTGGCACCCCAAAACAATTACAATAGTAATGTCAGAGATCACTGATCACAGATCACCATAACAGATGTAATAATATGAGAAAGTTTGAAATATTGGGAGAATTACCAAAATGTGACACAGAGACACAAAGTGAGCACACACTGTTGGAGAAATGGTGCTGATAGATTTGCTTGACGCAGGGTTGCCACAAACCTCAATTTGTAAAAAAAAAAACACAGTATCTGCAAAGTATAATAAAGCGATGTGCAACAGACTGAGGCATGCCTGCCCTTAAACAGGACATAGAAGATTCTATTTCCAATGTTGCCACTAACTCACTCTGTGCACAGAGATATTGTGGATTCTCAAGTCCTGTGGAGTTCTAAATGCTGCAGCTCTGTGCCCTGGGCAATGGAAAGAACAGGAACTCTGGCATCAGAAAGGTCTGTTTTCAAAATGTGACCTGCCGCTTTCCAGCTGATGGATCGTGGTCATGACAGTTAAACTATCTGATTTTAATTTTCTATCGGTAAAATTGGGCTAATAGTATCTTTCTTGCTTTATTACTGTGAGAATTAGCACCAACGCGTTGGATAACCCCTGGTACCCAGCAGGCATCAGTAAAGGACAGCGCTGGCGGTGCCGGTGCTAACTGTGCTGGCAGCACGACGGTGACTTCCTTCTGCTGCCCACATAAGCCTCGGTCTCACTATAGGAAGTCTACACACACATTTATCATCAAGTAATGCCTAAAACACACTCAACACCCTTGAACTTTCCTGTGACTATGATGCATGCTTTTCAATCTATCTTAAGGTGACCTTCACTTGTATGGAAAGTCTGAAAATGTACAGTCAGAGTTGCGTAACTGTGAGGCTGGCCTATGAAAGAAGCAGCTTTTCTCTTCCTTCTTTAAGTTTTTTTCATCCACTTGAGGCATTCCCCTTGTGGGCGTGTGATCTCCCCAACGGCAGCAATAGCTCAGGCAGCCACAACCACAGCCCTCAGCCCGCTGCAAGTGAGAGCACAGAGCACCTGGCCCCCCGCAGGCCCGAGCTCTGGAGCAGTTGCAGTTCCATCTGGTGGCCGCCACAGCAAAGACTAGCCAAGCTCAAGGGCCTCCAGGCTTGCCCCAAACAGAGAATACACAGGGGTTGACTGTCCCTCCCTGGGGCAAACTGACTCCGGGAGAACTTCTGGTCAAATCCCAACAACTCAAGATTCCCAAGATACCAGGAGAACCAAGGCACTCAAATGACTCTCTGCCCGTCAAAACAAACCCTTGTCTGTGGTCCAGGTAGGAAAGCGAAGTGTTACCATCTCAGTGTAGATCATGGCACAGGAACTAACAGACTATTTCAGAAGCAGGACAAGAGTCACAGAAATGGGCTCTCTTCTGCCTGGTAGTGCTTAACCCTGGTGGCACTTCAATATCACCAGGAGATAAAAATAGGCAAAAGATGTGGGCAAATATCACAACAACCAATCCTTACATGGAGCTCACCCTGTGCCAGACACTATCTAAGCATGTAATCTGCAAACCCCCGCAGGCTAAATAACATCATTTTCCCCCACTTAACACATGAGGAATGGCAGTACCAAGGGATTAAATAACTTGTTCAAAATCCCACAGCCAATAAGTGGCAAAGACAGTTTGAATCTGCCCAGCATTCTGACTTCAGACACCAAGCTCTAAACTACTATGCCTCAAAAGAGAAATTATAAGGGACTGGTAGACACATGAGAAGATGTTCAACCTCAACAGTGACCAGAAGAAGGTGTGGCAAAATGCACTTGCTCAAACGCATCAGCCACTTTAGAAAGGGGATTTGTCAATATCTACCAAACATAAACTGCAAATTTCCCTTGGTGCAGGACTGCACTTCCAGTAATCTATACCGCTGGAATTCTCAAAAAGCTTTGTGTACTAAGGATGCTCACATAGGGCATTGTCTTCACAAGACCTTCTAGCCATCTCTGTATGTGACTCATAGTAAAGTACCTGGCACTTGGTAGGGGCTCTAGAACTAGCAAGAATATATAAACATTAAATATTTATTTAGCTAAATAATGATGTATTTGTCCAAGTATTCAGTATTGCTACTAACAATTCAATAGTACAAGTGTGACCAGACCCAAGTTCTGCAGAACTAAAAGAAATCAGAAAGAGACTCTTCTCTTCTAGGCTCTGTGTGGCCGCCACCCACTGTGTCACCCCCTGCTCCCTGCTGGCTTCTGATTGGGTTCAGCCCATGGGCAACACCAGCAGATCAGAGGGGCGGCTGAGAGTTGGAGGGTTTGTTCCTCCCAGCCCCCATGGGCACCCCTGTCCCTCTGGGCCAGGTCATGGTTTCAGCAGTGGCTGGAATTCCTTACAACCCCAGCTCTCTCTGGGTGGTCCCTGTTTCAGGTCTGTGACTCATACTGAGTCTGATGATGCCTTTTCTTCCCCTACAAGCCTGGAAGAGGGGACAGTTTCAGCTGTTGCTAGTCTCTGCATGCCTCCCCATGCCCACTGTTCCACTCACCTGTGTTCAGAGCTCCTTACTAACCAGTCTTGGACTGAAGCCCTTGAGGGTGTCATCGCTTTTTGCTAGGACCCAGAGTGATTCAGCCTCAGACTTCCACGCAGTGCACATTTGTTGAGCACCACCTGGTACCAGCATGAGGATGTCAGTCCCATCCACCTGCTGGCTCAGGGGAGCAGCTGCAGCAAAAGTGTTCCATGGGCCTAGGCAGGACCTTAACCTCCAAGTTTGGTCAGGGCTTGCTCTTTTCCATGTGACAATGAATTAGAACAGCACACATGTGGTCAAATTAATTTTTGTTCAGGTGTCCAAGTAAATCTAAATCCCGTTAAAACATCTATGTTTCTAGAAAGCTTTTAAGAAATTCATCTCCTAAGCAAATGCAGTGAATTCAAAGAGGCCAGCAGGGAGCAAACTACAAATAAACCTGCTACTCCTCGAATGTCTTCATCTCAGGGAAGATGCAGTCAACCGCCTGGTCCCAAACCTGGAACCTGGAATTTCTCACTCCACCTCTCTAAACTTCTCTCTGGCTCGTCCCCTCCCATCCACCCTCATTGCTACTGCCCAGGTCTAGCCCTTACCTTTCTTGTCTGCTCTGCAGTTGTCGTTAGGAGTGGGTGTGTCTTCATGTCTGCATTCCAGCCTGGCATAGTGCGTTGTAGAGTGAGCCCTCACCAAAGGTTAGTTGCGTGAATCAAATCCTATCACAGCAGCATCCCACTTTTTTTCCTTCTCCCATCCATCTTCCACCTGACATGGTGAGATCCTTCTAAATCAGAGATGCAGCTATATCTGTATCGTTACTTCAAGTCCTCAATGGTTCCCCCATGGCTCTTAACCAGGGGTTGCCAACCTTTCTCTGTAAAGGAACAGATAGCAGATAATTTAGGCTTTTTTGGCCATGTAGTTAGTTTCTGTTGCAACTACTCAATTTTGCTTTCGTAGTGTGAAAGTAAACATAGGTGATATATAATCAGTGAGTTTGGCTGTGTTCCAATAAAACTTGATTTACTAAAACATGTGGCAGGCTGGATTTGGCCCAAGGGCCACAGTTTGCTGACCTGCTCTAAGCAAGTATGTGCAAGCTGGTTGGTGTGGCCTACAGGCTGCTCAGGACCTGAGTTCAGCTGGCCTTTCTCTCCAGACACTTCTCCTGCACACTTCGTTCCCCATCAATGTCACTCTTCTTACAATCCCTCGAATGTGCTGTGTATGTTCAGGTATCTGTGACTTTACACTTACGGCTCTCTTTTTGTAGAATCCCCTTTCCCCATCTATATGCCCATGAAACACCTGTCTTTCAAAACTGCTTGCATTAAAGCTTTCCCTAGTGCCCTGCCCATCCTGCCCCAGAGAGAACCTCACCCTCCTTTTGCTGCCTTTGCACCTGCTTCCATCATTACACCTAACTCTATCCTGTCTTCATTTGTCGATATGTCTATACCCGGTTATGGAAGAGGACAGGACTGTTACACAGGTGCTTAGGAAATGTTCCCTGATTGAGTTGAGACCAATGTCCCTTTCAGTAGGGCGATTCCAGATTTGCTTGGGGCAGCCCCAGTTCTTATGTGTTGCCCAAACATAAGAGTTTAGTGCTTTTTTTCATTTTCAGAAATGACCTCATGCAAATGACAAATTACATAGTTGCCCTCCTTTCTGGATTCCTGGTAGAAGTGGCTACCTATATGGAGGACCACAATAGGAGAGCTTAGGGTCTCCCTTCCCTGTGTTCATTCCCTTTCCAGTGGCAGCAGATCGGCGTCCCTGACTTCCCAGGCCCAGCAAAGCACAGCTGAGGGGCCAGGGCAGAGAGGTCGCCAGTGCAGGTCTGGTTTTCTGTGTTCACTCAGCACAGTGGAACAGGACCAGTCATGACACTGAGCACAGTTAAGACTCACAAGGAGGATATACTCCTGTGGTGACTAGCTAACTCTGCCCTGCCCTGTGACCCTAGGACAACTCTAACTGAAGCCAGGGCGGTGGGGAGAGAGCAACAGGACTCCATGCTCAGTACAGGAAATCCTCCAAGCTCAGGCCCAACCAGGGAAAAGCCATTTGTGAGGGCTTTATGCACAAAGAGGGAGTATCTCATTAGAGCAACCACCCCCCATCTCATCATGGGTCATAGGAGTGGCTCCCGGACAAGGTGCCCAGGAAAGAGAAAGAAAACACTGAATGGCCTTTCCCCACTACGCCTCCCCCAATTGTTTGACAAGCAGCCGGTTGCCCGAGCCCCTTTCCTGAGCTGCCTCCCTCCTCCCCCGCACTTCAGACACTTCCATCTCTGTTCCCTGGGACACTCACAGGAATACAAAATGATCACCCGGAAATGGGGCTGCATAAGGAGTCCTTGGTTCTTTGAAAGCAATCCCAAATCCGGGAGTGTTCCCTAACTCTCACAGCTCTCAGTGCCTTTGCCAGAAATGCCCCCTCTGCTTGTGAATCCCGACTGTTATCTGCATGGCCATCTCCACAAAGCCACCCTTCTAAAAGGTCAGCCTGATTATTTCCAAGAGAATCGAGCTCCTTCTGACCCCAGGGTTCTAACTCGTGACCTTGAATCTATGCTCCTGACTTTGTTTAATAACCCTTTTTCAGTAGCTTTTGAATAATTCCCACTCCAACCCCAGCTACATTCAATTCTCCCCAATAGACATGTATCCCTCATTGTGTCTCAGGCAGTGCTCTGCTTCAAAAAACATGCCAATAAACAAAAACTCAAACTTAAAAAACAAAGGGATCCCTGGCAGACATTCAGAAGGAATCTTTGCATGATGAGGACTCACCACAATTTCTTTACGAATTGAAATTGCTCCTGGATTTAAGTGTTCCTTTGTGACTCCTTAAAGCAAAGACTTCAGGAGCCACTGTCAAATAAAGATCATCTCTCAAACTATAACAGAAGGAAAACAGGAATCAGTTTATTCCAAACATTTTAGAAACAGCCCCCTCCTTGACTTACATTACGTAGAATTCAGGTGTATGCTTGACACATAACCAAAAAATCAAATAAAATCCAGCTCCAAAAAATATGGCAAAACAATTTGGTGGCAAATGCCGTGAATTCTGAAACTTCAGTGAACTGGTGATGTATTGCCCACCATGCACAAAGTACTCTTTAAGCTCAGAACAGGGGATTTTAGCGGAACAAGGAATGCTTCTTGTTCTCAATGAGCTATTCATTTGGAAGAAAGAGAAGATAATGTATGCATAATTCACGTAAGACTGAAAATGAGCTACGTGATCTTGAGCAATTTATGTAAGTTCACTAAGTCAGCTTCCTCATGTTTAAAACAGAAAGTACCTATCACAGGATCTCCATGAGGACTACATGAGATGATGTGAACAAAGAGCTCAGTACGGCAGCGGCAATAGCACAGGACGTCATTCCGTGTTAGCTGCACCGCTGTCTTAGTTCTTATCTTCACCTGTGTTTCCCTCGCACACTCATTATGGAAAGTGGAAAGAGATTATTCTATTTATGAGAGTCAAGAAATGATGGCTGGAGGAAGTGGCATTTGAGCTGGATCTTAGAGGACAGGTGGGATCGCAGGGAGAGGTGATGATGCGAGCTCATGATGACGCAGTGTGTCAGTTTCAGCAAGAGGAAACAGTGTAGGCCAGGTCCTAGAGGCCGTGGACAGGTTTGGCTGGCATGAGAATATCCAATAGGGAGAAATAGGAGGTAAGGTTGGGAACAGAGGTTGAGATAAAATTTTGAAGGAAATTTCCAGATAAGGTATTTGAACATTACCCTACAGTCAATAAGGAGCAACCAAAGTTTTGAGGAGAGGAGTAATATTCTCTGAGTTATACTTTAGATATATTCTTCTGGTTGCAGTGTACCAAGTGGACAGTAGCAAAGAGACCAACAGAAAGCTAGTTAGCTATTTTAGTGGCCTGGGCAAAAGACGGTGAGGGCCTAAACAAGCCCAGAGACTTACAGAAAATAGATAAAGCAGACAGATGGGAGAAAAATTTGGGGAAGAAATCAGCTAGCCTAATTTAAGGGAGAAGGAGAAGGTGGAGTCATCTTACAGTGATTCAAAGACGTTGAACTGGGGTACAGATGCCATTTAAAAAGTTAGGAAATGCAGGAAGTGCAACCAGTTCAGAGGACAGGAGAGAAGATATCTGTAGCTATAGTGCCTGACTCTAAGGCTTCTACTGGCAAGAAGACGTTGGATGGAAATTATCTTTCTGTTTCCTCATCTGTGAAATGGAGATATATGGGTATCTTCCATAACTTCCATAAATAGCTTTACCAATTTCTAAGTTTGAGCTTCTCAAAGACTGGAGTCTCTGTACTTATGATTCACTGTAATTTGGGGAGTAAATGTATGAATCACCCCATGTGTGTCTATTTATATCTATTACTACTTACCCAGAAAGACTTGAATAGACTGGCAAAGTCAACTGTGAGCCCAGAGTTCTAATACTTGGAAACAAGAGAGGGGTTTCATCTGTTAAACAGCTCCTTTGGTGTATAAAATGCCAATAGAAGTTACTGAGACTCTAGTTTCTTGGTAACTTGGATGGAAATTATGGTGCTGCACCAGTCGGGGTCCAGTCAGGAAAATAGACCATACTAGGTATTTTAACAGATAAAATATAATATAGGGATTTCATTAAATAGATGTTGGAGGACTGAAAAAGATAAATGAGAACAGTGAGCTAACACCAAGGTAATAGCTACAGGAAGTGTCCCCCACCACAAAGGAGAACAAAGAAAAGATATTGAAGTTGTCAGAACCTACAAGCTTAATGGAGAATGCCATGGAGCTGGGACACAGGTCTCCATGGAAGGAGTACTGCCTAGCAAGTGCTGCTCTCCAACAGGTTGCATTTAGGCTACTTCGGAGGTGCTGGGAGAAGGTGAACTGGAACCCACTGCCACTACTGGGGCGATGCCGACGTGAGCAGCCAAAGAGGAAGCAGCAAGTCCCCTGTCCCCTCCTCCTGCCCCTATTGTAAGAACCTAACATGAAGCCAGCTAACACAGGAGAAATAAAGTTTGCAGAGTCCCAGAATAATACAACAAAGAGAGAAAAGAGGGGTGAATTTGGAGCTGAGAAGCAAAAGCTCAATAACTGACATGAGGAATTTTACATAGCACATGATTTGAGAACTATCAGACTGCTATGTTTATTTTCTGAACAAGCAACCACAAAATATAAAAACTTTTTCAGATAATGAAGCACAGACTAGAAATATTAAGTTACTCTCCTGCAAGCCTCAAAGAGAAAAGGCAAATGGACTTTGTGGAGAAAAGTACCTATCACAACATACAGAGATTGAGGTGGACACAGCCTAACATGACCCCCCAGTGATACAGGCCTTTGTGTAATCTCACCCCCTTGAGTGTGGTCAAGACCCAAGAATTGATTTTAACTGATAGGATACAGCAAAGGTCGTGGGATATCATTCCCTTGATTATGTTATGAAACTCAGTCTTAGCCAACTAGGGCGAGAGAGGTCCTCCTGCTATCCTTGAAGAAACAAACATCCATGTTGTGACCTGCTGCTGGCCTCTAGGACCTGAGGGTGGTTTTCAGCCAACAGCCAGTAAGAAGCAAGGGCCCTCAGTCATACAACCATAGGGAAATGAACTCTTCCAACAATTCGAATGAGCTTGGAAGGGGATCATTCCCCAGAGCCTCCAGCCCAGGCCAACACCTAATTGCAGCCCTTCTGAGCAGACTTTCAGCAGAAGACCCAGCTAGGCTGTACCTAGACTCCTGACCCATAGAAACTGTGAGATAATAAATATGTGTTCTTTTAAGCCACTAAGTTTGTTATAATTTGGTATACAATATTAAACCAACATAGGAATAATCCATATTTCTCTATTTTCCATCTATAGTCAACATTGACCTCTTATTGAGCATCTAACATGGGCCAGGTGTTTCCAGTCCTCGAGAAGCCAGTTTAGAAAACAGATCAGCCCAGTCTAGTGTGATATGTTCAGGATATAAGTGAGCCCAGGAGACCACAAGGGCCTGGAGGAGGGCAGCCTGCCCAGAAAAGGGATGAGGGGGAGCCTTCATAGGAGAAGGTCTTAGTTAAAGGAAGATTAACCAGTTAAGTAGGGAAGGGGACTTTAGGAAGAGGTCCAAAAACATTAGATTGTCCTGGATTGGTGATCATTTTTCTCCAACTGTATTACATGTGACAGAAATCAGAAAGAAAGAAATCAATTTAAGTTCTTCCTTAAATTGTTTTTCTTCAATCAGATTTACACTCATATTACAGCACTCAGTTGAAAATTCAAAATCCAGAAGAGTCCGAAAAAAAAAAAAAAAATGTGTGCTTGAACTTAGATATGTCTCCTGATAGAGAGTAGATTAGTGATTGTTTGTCTTAATAAACGGCACTTCCTCTTGAAACTGTGCCCAAAACAACCTTAAAAAGTTCCGATTTCATGAAACGTGTCACTTCCTCTCTACTCACAGCCCCCATTTTCCTTCCTTCCCCTGGGTCTCACTTTTTTTTTTTTTTAAGTGTAATGCTTTAGTGTTTAAAATAATACCCCTCTTTGGCAGGCTGATGTAAAATAACTCCTATTTTCTGGGGAGAGTTTTGTGATGAAGAGAGTTTTGATCTCAGCCAAGGTCACAGAGAGGGTCAGAAACAACAGAGCTGGGATTCAAGTCCTAGCCTCAGGAGCCTCAGGATGAGCCCCACAGCAGTGTTCTTGTGTCGTCTGAACTTGGAATGGCCTCCCACCCACGCTCAGCCTTCTCTGGTGCCTCCTTCCCTTCCCACAACCTCCAAGAGCCAGTTATTCAAGGTCCAC